AATCAATTTCGATTTGGTAGAAACCACTTAAAAGTTGCTAATCCCTGAAAAGGATGCTGGTAATTCTCTTTTTCCGTGTCACGCAGTCAGCAGTAATTCTCGGCTTAGATGAAACAACAAGGAAAATCGAGCCTCGACCGTAGAGAAGCGAGTTGACCACCAATGGCTCCCAGCCTGATTACATTTGGCCCAGTTGGGTGCATGAACACCGGTTGGCAGGTGCATCGCATGGGCGTGTTATTGTTTGTGTTTCTGCTGGGCAATTAACAAGCAATAAAAGCATCCAGGGAAATGGGAAAGTCGGAGGAGGAGGGGCGTTAGTGCAATTAACACAAAGATTTCGCAACGCCATGCTGAATAAATGTCCCTGGCGGTTGCCGATTGATTTGGTGGCACGTCTTCGGTCTGAACTTTTGCCAAACGAGAAGCCGCTCTTTGAATGCCAAATTCGGTGCACTGACACCTGCCTTCCGCCGCTGCCCGAGTTGCTTTTCTCGTTCGCGTTTTCGTTTTATGAATGAAAAACTTGAGTCACTGGCCGGAATCGCGTGGGTGGCCGTACGCCCCCGGCAAAAGGCCAAAATGCAAATGCAGAAAAAGACCAAGAGTGCAGTGGGTAACGACAACAGCAGCAAAAGTGTTACACGACTTTACGAGCACATTCATTGACTGCAAATCAAAACGTGCGCCACGCCAACGCCAACGATATCGTTCACATCCACTCTGATGCACAGAAAAAAACTGTTCTACCTTCAACTTGGAGATAAAATGACAATCATTGAAATAAATAGGGAATGAACAATATTTTATAAGTAAATAGGTTTTAAAAATTAAAAATGTTAAGCAAATTAAAACCTGCTTGGTTTTAAAAACGCTTTTGCAGTGCATTCACCTCAAGTTCAAAATCGACGGCAAGTTGAACGCCAACGCCGATAGCAATTACCAGGTGCCTGCTAACTGGCAAGGTTATGGCTCTGACAGAAACGCCGCGCAAATGTTTTGCATACCGCACACACAAATACCTTCGGGCATTACGGGTACGCACTGCATGCCAGGCCAAATGGTTTTAATTTTTATTTTCGAGCGCATTACCGAGAACAGCACTTTTAAATTATTGAGTGTGAAGCATTTAACATTTCAGGACAGACTGCGTTGGCTGGTACAATGGTTGTTAAGAGTCTAAAGTGCTAAGAGCAGGAAGACGTCTTAATAATTTCTTAGCTAAAGCTCACAGAAGAACACATTTAAATTGTAATGAATTTAAGTTCATGCTATGCCAAGAATTTTTCGCACTTATAATTACAAACTCTTCTTAATACATCGTAATTATTCTTCAACAAAGTATTCAAGTAAGCTATTTAAAGGAAATAATAATATAAATAAGTAATTTGGATACAAAGCAGTACGCTTAGCCCCCAAGATATTTTATTATATTTATTTTCGCTCTCACTCTAGAATCCTTTTTTATTTTATACATTCGATTTGTGGCCACTGTTCTGGCCATTCCCCTCCGCCTGTTTGTTCAGCACACAGTTTAAAAGTAATTGTTATTGGGCCGGGTCGACCTCCTCTTAAGTCCACCTCCGAAACGTGGCCAACATCCCACTGAAAATTCCGGCTCCTGCAGCCATTGTCGGTGCTAAATGTCGCACGCACATAAGCCAAATTATGTGAGGCATTTTTAACGACTGATATGCGCCCGGCGCGATATGGCGAAAGCACACTGCACACAGTCCGTGGGCCCATAAAAAATCGGAGGCAAAATTGAAACTGCCACCCAAGTCGCCCGTTTCATGCGCCAACCACCCAATTTCGGCCCACCGATGTTAAACGCGACAAACGCATGGCCGATGTACGTGAGATTGGGCGGCCGTTAATTGGTAAAAATTGGGCGAAACCCCGCAGAAGTGCTTATGCCATAATGCGTAAATTTTAATGAAAACTGAAAGTACGAAAACAAAAACACACTTTTTTCGGGTCGTAAAGTCTCGAGAAGACGGCGATGAACTCCGGTCCTCTGTGCAATCGCCTGGAAGTTGATTTAATGAAGATTTCACCAAATAGGCATCCAGCCGTCGCTGTCTGACATGTCGTAGACGAGTGTAAATATATATTTTTTTAAGATTTAGATATTGAAGTATATGGGCTTGGCACGTGTCCTGTCTGTCAGATCGTGCGGCCGGAATTTCAATGGGAGGTCTTTATCGGGTGAAATTTAAAAAAGCCTTAAATTGTGAGTTGTGGCAAAATAAATTCGATAAGCTTAGCAAAAATCAAAACAAAGCTGATGAACTAAATGCAAATGGGATCGGATTTTCGAAACGAGCTTATGCAAAATGGAAAGGGAAACAAAATTTGATTCCGTGATAAAAATAAAGCCTCCCTCAGGATTTGCTTTTATATTTTACATACAACATGGAAACATCTAAAATGCATTTATATACAAAAAAAGGCTGAAAAAGTAATTTTAAGATCAAAGAGGTGGTGATAATAGCCTCCCTATATTTAATCTTATAACAATAGGTTTATTTACAATTAATTTTGAATTTCCCAACAAGGATGTCTGCCATCAAAATTATGCAGAAAGTAGGTGGCTACAAGCCACGATCCGAAATTATGCAGACCCCAATCATATACGATGTCTCAGCCCACCGAACACCTCATTTCCATATCGAACAATGCAGATGCAGAGACAATTCAGCGGCACAATGGTTTGTTGCAACATGACCACACACAAGCCTTTTCGCGCCAAGAAATGCCAAAGCAAACACCCCGGGCTGTGCGCCTAATTATGCAACAATATGGCCAAGAGATGACTCTCTCCTTTATCCTTTTTAGGCAAATTAAGCACAAAGCCTGGCCAAAACAAGAAACACAAGAAATTATGAACAACAAGCAAACGCAACACGATAGCGAAATTATGAACGTGATTAATTCATAGATGGTGGCGCTTGTGGCCATTGTTTTTTGGTTTTGGCCAACACTGCAGTTTACCCCTTCCTGCAAGGGGATATGGCCGCACGATCCACGACAATAGCCCGCCGTGGCCTGCAGTTGACATCCACGAACGACGTGGCCAAAAAGCTAAATATGATTATGTGCGCTCGATTTAATCTCAGTCGATTTAGCACTGGCCAACTCGCTTTTTTACCGCATTTTTCTATTTTTTGTGTATTTGCTGAAAGTGTGTACAACATACGCGAGCCGGGCACATTAAAAATGAAGAGATTTTCCTTGAAAATGATGCCTGCGTATGGTTTTGGTCACAACGACTTTGTGCTCAAAATTGAAAATCCAAAATCGTAAAAAAATTGCACCGAGAGCGTGAGTAAGTCCCCCCGCCCACTTATTTTTATTCGCCCCCACGCACACACACAAAATCGAGGGGAAAAAATAAAGAAGAAAAACAACCAACTCAAGTAGTTGGCGGATTAGAGTCGTCAGTACAGTGGCTTTAGTCTGATAAAGAGACGGAAAAACCGAAGAAAAAATTGGCTACTTAATTTGGTAATAACAATAATTACGCCTGACTGACTAAACGCTGACCGGCGTCCAATTTAATATTGAAAAGACGGCAGCCAAGTGGCTGTCCATTGGATTCCCTAACCAATTCTGTGGGTATTACCGGCTGGTAATGATTATTGCTTAGGAAAGGAAGAGCCAAAGACAGTAAAAAGCCAATCACCGAAACTTTATAATTGGTTAAAGCTGTTGAACAGGCCGCAAGTAGTTTTAGGAAAGAGAAGTTAGTTATTGAATGGATAATGTAATTAATTGTATTTTACCGGGGGCGTAAAGCTAATGAACTGATTGCTTTTCCCACCCATAGAGTATCTTTAGTTCGTAACCACGCTCAGTTTTCGTCGTAGTTTTCAATTAAAACGTTTGTAGATAATCAATTAATAATTTTCAAGTAACTGGTGGCTACTGGCCGGCTGACTCAGTCGCTCCACGCTCAATTAGGTGCAAAGACATCTCGGCTGGCTGCGCTCGACTCGACTCGAAGCTGAGGATTTTCGCAGTTGATCATATTTATTGGCTTTGCGATTAGACTCGGCGGACTCGATCCGGCGTCTTGCCTCTGGCCTAATTGGGGGATCTAAACTTGAATATTGATGACGGTGTCGGATCGGACAAAACAGCAAAAAAATAACACACACACAATCCAAAATTTGATGCAATTGTGGCCGCTGGCCGTGTTGTTTGATATTTATCGTACTTAATTTTTCGATGTGTTTTGCTGTCTTGGCTATTTTTGGAGAATTTCACGTACGAGACTCATAATTCGTGCGATAATTTACACAAAATTAGGCAACTGTCTAGCCAGCGAACCTTTTAAAGCTTTTGGAGCACTCCGGTGCGTTTCCCACGCCAATTAGAATTAGTAATCGAGTCGAGCCGCGTTCAATTGAATTTCGAGGGAGTCTTCGAGGTCTGCTGTCAGATAATTGCAAGAGAAAATTGGAAAATTCAATTTACTGGGGAGCGTAAATAGTCCGAAAATTTAACATCACCTTTTATTCCACTTTGTATCGCCTCTTTTATGACACAGCGCGGCTTCCTCGCATAATTTGTGTTAACAAAACTTTAGCCATAAAATGTCCAAAGTGAAACTCATAAAACGCAAAATTGTCGGTGCGGTCAGATATAATTAATGTGGGGCAAGTTTATTCTTCTTTGCGGTTAATCTCCCCCCAAATCTCAGGCTGCAGAAGTTTGACTCCCACACTCTGCGAAGGCAATTAAAAGTCTAATTAGATTGTCATTAGACAGACCCAAGTGCTAAATGGTCAGGTGTTATTCAAGTATCGCAATAAATCAAACTGTTCAATCTTGATTTGTAAATATCTGAATAATTGCTCAATAAAAGGACCGAATGTCAATTTGATTAAATAATCAGCTGAGGATAAATGGTTTAATTTTATTTGAATTATTTTTTGAGAATAGTAAAACTATACTAAACTAAATAAAATCATATACAAGGCATCTCCGCTTTGTCACTCACATATTTTAATATATTAAAATCGTCGTTTGGTAGCTTTTGTTAGACTAATCAAAATTCAAAATTCTCCAGGATGACGACCCATTTTTACTACCCAAATAAGGAGCTGCAGGAGGAGCTGACCTGCATCTCCAAGGCTCTGGTGGCTCCTGGTAAAGGCGTCCTGGCTGCCGACGAGTCCAGTGCGGTGATGGGAAAGCGGTTTCAGCTGATCGGAGTGGAGAACACGGAGGAGAACCGCCGGATATATCGCCAAATGTTGTTCACCACCGACCCCAAGATAGCGGAGAATATATCCGGGGTGATATTATACCACGAAACACTGCATCAGCGCACGGATGACGGGTTGCCCTTTGTGGAGGCTCTTAGAAAGAAGGGAATCCTGACTGGAATCAAGGTGGACAAGCACTTTTCACCGCTCTTTGGCTCCGAGGACGAGTTCACCACCCAGGGACTGGATGACCTGGCCAATCGATGTGCTCAGTACAAAAAAGAAGGCTGTAGCTTCGCCAAGTGGCGGTGCATTCTTAAGATCACAAAGAACACTCCATCACCACAGGCCATTTTGGAAAATGCCAATGTGATGGCTCGATATGCGGCCATTTGCCAATCGCAGCGTTTAGTGCCAATTATCAGCCCCGAGGTTTTGCCCACCGGAGATCATGACCTCGATCGCTGCCAGAAGGTCTACGAAACTCTCTTGGCTGGAGTCTACAAAGCTCTCAGCGATCACCATGTTTTTCTTGAGGGAACCCTTTTACAACCGAGTATGGTGTTGCCTGGTCTTCAAAGTAACAAGAACCATCCAGCAGCTGATATTGGATTGGCCACTGTTCTCTCAATCAGGAGAACTGTTCCTCCGGCGGTTATGGGTGGGATTTTTTAGAAGATTTTTTCCTTTAAATAATAACCCTTTTCCCCAGGAGTCCTTTTTTGTAGCGGAGCACAATCGGAGGAAGAGGCCACGGTCCACTTAAATGCCATAAACAATGTGCCCTTGTGCAAGCCCTGGGCCATGACTTTCGCTTTCGATCGGGCTCTTCAAACCTCAATTCTGCGAACTTGGGGTGGCAAAAAGGAGCAGATTAGCCATGCTCAAAACGAGCTAATCAAGCGCTGCAGGGTCAGTATAATTTACTACTAAATGTGTTCCTTAACCTGATCTTATCCCCCTTCAATACCTTTAAGGCTAATGGTCTTGCCAGCATTGGAAAATATATACTTGGCTCCGTGGAAAGCTCAGCGGCTACCGAAAGACTCATCCAAGAAGCCGTCGAATTCTAAAAACACCATCCTCATTTTGTTTGGGTATTTAAATCTATAAAAAAAAATTATATTACAAACAAAAATGTATAACATAATATTCCTCTTTTGGTCATTGAAACCACCGTGTAAAGCGGTGTTCCTTTGTGGTTCAATAATCTATTAATTTTTTAATTGCACTCCGTTTTTCCCGAGGCAACATGGTGGAGTGTTTTTCCTTTCGTGGGCGAGGTGAAGTGCTCCCTAGGTGACTTATGGTCGACACTTGACCGCAGGCCGCGTGTTTGACGCCAGCCAGTCAGTCGGTACAAGTCGGAATATTGTTAACAAGCCTGCAAAGAGCAACATGGCTCTTGGAGCGGAGTGTCGGCTTAATCCGCGGAGATTACCAGACGACCGCGCGACACGCAGCTGCGTTCACAACTCCAGCTTGGCTGCAGCTTAATTAACGCAGCGCATGCCAAAAACCAAAACGACGGTCGTGTGCAACAGCAACAGCAAAAGCAACAGCAGCAGCAAGAGCAGCAACACCAACAGCAGCAACATCAACAGCAGCAACATCGACAGGAGCGGCAGCAACAGCAACCCCAGGTTGAGTGTTTCGACTTAATCAGGCGGTTCAGAGCCGCTCAAGTCGGTGTCATGTTGTTGGCAAATTAGTCAGGCTGCCACCAGGAATCGTTGCAGGAGGGGAAACTGCTGCACACAAATCGCAATAATTAAAATTAAAGCAGTCACTAAGTTATAGCCTTGCCTTTCGCTGCAACGTCAGCTCCTCCCAGTTGTCACGCACAGAATTTTTAAACAGCCAACCAGCTACATGTTCTAGTTGTAAGTTAAGTGTAAGGACTTTTAGTTACTTGGGAAAGTTTAAAGACTAGTATGCACATGGGAAATATTTTCATATAATGGTTTATTAATTTTATTAGTAGATCTATTCTATTTGGCAAGTAAAAATGAGCAATCATTTAATTTGTTGTGTTCTGAATTTAATTCTAGGGTACTTTATCTGGCAGTTTTTAAAGTTCTATCTGTTCGCCTGCAGCTTCGAACGTTGTTTTGTGGCTTACGCAATCGCCGTGTTTTCCGGGACCGCGAGATTAAGTCCCCGCGATGCGTCCACTCCCCCCTTTTGCCCGGACTCGAATTTAATTCTCAGTGCCAATCAGACCAACCCGTACGACATGTCATGTTAATTGGGCCCCCGAACACACACACTTGCAAATGTATTCGCCCGTGGCGCCTGTGCATGTGTGTAAATTGCCATTATGCTCATGTTTGCTTAATATGTGGCACACAACACCCACCGAGTTCCGCTCGATTCCAGGCTTTATAGCTATATGGCCATAGCCATTGCGATTCGACGGCAGCACGCGACGCGTCAAGCCAATTAAAGCCAAATTATGGCAGCGCTTTTTTAATCACATGCATCGCTCTTCGCCGCTCAGCGGCTCACAATCAGTTGCTCAGTTGCCCGCCTATTCAATCACTCATTCATTCACTCACTTACTCAATCAGCGGTTTCAATTTGCCGCTGAAGATTTATGGGAGTGCCGGGCGTTAATGTGGCAGTGGAAAAACGGCCACTAGGAAAATAATGAACTGTTTTCATAAAAGGATACATTTAATCATCATATTTGGTAGCCAAAGCATTTCAAGAAAACAAATACTTCTTTTAATTGCAAATTAGGGATTGAGTGGTGTTAAAACTTAAGCTTAAGCCATTTATGTAATTATTTGCTGTGAATATAAAATGTCAAGCACAGTGAAGCATCAACGAAACATACTTTTAGCAAGAGACTTAAAAAGAGCTTGTTTGACAGCGAGAACACGTTGTAAGACCCCAAAAAAACTTAAGATGTTGAAAAGTTTAGAATTTAAGTATTCTTTTTTTTACTATAAAAGTTTTACTGTACATTTGATCGCGACTGTTAAATGTTGCTCATTGCCGGCGGCACGCGTTTGTTAGAGACTTCCACAGTCGCCAAAGATCAAAGCCAAACAGCCGACAAGCATCGAACCCGATTTGAGTTGGTCTTTAACGAGATTTCCACTTGCCAACCGCCGGCTGTTGTTGGCCATAAACGAGTATGCGCGAAGTGGGAGTGGGCCCACCAGGCCAACCTGGTGGCGGCATAATTAGAAAAATTGTAGCCAAGCCAAGCAAAGCCAAGCCGAGCTGAGCCAAGCCGACGGGTCTGTGGCGCCAAAGTTTAATTCACAACTCCGGACGGAGCCGGGCACAAATCACTCAGCTGTCAAACGCTTGTTTTGATTAATTTGGTGTTAATAACGCAGACCGCACAACACAAATCCTGTCCCGTTCCGTTCCGTTCAGCAATTAATGTGGCCTGGTCTTTCGCTGGCTAGCTGGCTGGCTGGCCAAAACCAAAACCAAATCCAAACTTGGTCATGGAGCGTGAAAAACGAACGCTTTGCCCCGAGAGCCTCGGCGGAGGATGCGACTTGTGTTAATTGAAAGTTTCGGCCCAACCATATAAAGTGAGGAAGCCAAAAGACTCTCGTACGACTTCGATTGCGATTTGGTTGCCTGCTGATAGCCAAAATGTTGCCAACTCACCGCCAACTCACCATAAATGGCCGCACACGCGTCCGCTTGGCAGATGGCAGGACGAATGAATATGCTGGAGTGCAAAGAACCAGCGGTGTTGGCCGGCTAAAAAGCCAAAGATCCGCCAAAAGCGGGACAGTTTCGCTTTTGGTTTCGCTTTCCATGTGCGCCACATCATCAGGCCAAAAGTAAGAGGTGTTTAAAATGCTAATTTGGGCAATGCCACCAACTGAATCACGTACAGCTGTCTCCATTTCTTACATGACTTAATGACGCTTGATTTGGCCTGGCCTAAAGTTCAGGCTCCCTTATAAAATGGGTAAAGCACAGCTGGTTAGACCTCAATTTCTGAAATGAATAGGCCTGCAGGGAAACACATTTCCTGGGAAGGTAAAAGGTTGAAAATGAACAACTTTTTGACAACTTTTAGAAATCTGCGTTCTACCAGGTTCACTTTAAAGATTTAATTCAAGAATATTGTTCTCAACTCTTTTACACTTATTTCTTTTTGTGTGATGGTAACAACTTTCCTCTTACTTAAAGTATCCTTTTCCTTTCGTTAACTCAAACATCTGACCAGTAACTTTCACTGCCATCATTATAATCGAGCATGGGATCAGCTTTAAAGAGACCCACTGGCAGCGGAGTATGCAAATAATTCCTGGGCGGGTCGGTCTGCTCCTCGGCCTTCCACCGTTCCCTCGGCGCTGGAGGCTGTCGCCCATCAACGCGCTTGTTTAGCTGTCACCATATGCAGCTTCCTGGCCAGGACAGGCCGAAACGCTACTGACGTCGCTCGCCCCCGGGCACTGAATCGAAATTTGCTATGCCAAAATGTCAAAATGTCAATTCGAAAACGTTTAGCTAAAAAAAAGTCACTAAAGAGAGAAACGCAGCGGCGCTGCCAAATGTTGGCTAAGTAAACTTTTTGGCTATTGAATGAACGGTCACTTGGCCAGTTTATATATACATGTGTATATATTTATATGTGTACATACAGACGGAGGCGTGTCGCTGGCAGTCGCTCAAGAGTTGGTCAGGTGTAGGCTCGTTTGTCTGTCACTCGTTACATTTGCTTACCTTTCCTTTATGCAAATGCGGGTGACTCCGGCTCGCATTGCATAAAGTTAAAGCTAGGCTATAGTTGGTTGAGCTTTTTATTGGCGAAAAGTCTTATTTCTCGGGGTTCTGTCAATGCCCCACAAGATGCCTCACAACTTGTGTCGTCTGCCTGACAATCGTACGACATTTGTGACAAATACTGCCGACACAAAACTCTTTCAATTCTGTTTTTCGGCTGACAGACAGGCTCTCAGACATGCATAGGCAAAGCAAGTTGACAGGCCAAGAGGCCAAAATAAAAATAATACTTAAAAAACGTAGTCTTTTTGTTGCAAATTTTATGCAATCTTTCAGCGGAGTATTGTGTGTACGGCAATCGAAGGAAACAAAAATAAATTATACACCCAAGCTATTTCGACAAATTCAATGGGAAAAATCAGCAATTTAAATAATGCTAACTGGCATTTTGAAATGCAGCCTATACAGAAAACCATCTTGGACAGTTGTTGCATCATTTAGTTGGCCATTCGAATGCCGAAAAATACATTTGGGTGTGACCACACACTAAACTGCTCAGTAAAAAGATTCAAAGCAATAATTGAATTCTGCGAGTATAAACAACATTTACCTGAATATATCAACAATTTTGCTAACTATTTTCTGGCAATCAATTTTAGCAAACAAATTCCTGGTGCTAAAATTTCTCTTACCTTATTGATTCTGTACTGATTCTATCTGTAGTAAACTATTCGATTTGTTCGAGTTCGTTCGAATCACTTAATAAACCCCAGATACCCTCCGGCAAATTCATAAAAATTATCAAAATTAAAACATAAATAAAATAAAAGGGAACACGTACGAAAACTCGGCACAAAGACACATACCTGAATAAATATATATATATGGGCAAAGCAAATGAATTCAATTTCGAATGAAAAATGGCGGCAGTGATGAAGATGGCGACGGCGACGGCATCGCAATGTGCGTGACTGCGTGAAAAGTGGGTGGAAATTCAAGGAAATGGGGGGGACGCGGAAAAAGAAAAGCGCGGAGGAAGGAATAAACTTTATTAACATTTTTCGCATGCTGCACGTGCAGCATTTGTGGCAGGGGCGCCGCGCCGCGCGGCGTATTTCGCGCTCTTTAATGAAGTTTCATAAATTGTAAAAATCGAACGTTAATCAAATAAGGAGCGGAGAGCCTTGTACAAAAGGTGGCGCCTTAAATGGCCGACAAACTGCAAACGTGGCCAAAAGAATCTGTCAATAAATCAATTAGTGTAATATAAATCAAGTGACAAACGGAAAACACAAAACCAAAGTCCGCCACTAGAGAGCACTGTGGTGATGTTTCCATCTTCTGTAAAATGATAGTTGCGGTCTTAATTAATTGCAACAAATTTTACGTCTGGCATGTCAGCTGAGAAAAAAAAACAGAAATAGAAACTATAGCATTAATAGTGGC